AAATTCCGTCTAGTCGGGCAGATCCGAATTAATTCCTTTGGTTTGATTGGCTAATCATCTGATGATGCCACGTGATGGGAACAATCGATTAGTTGCAACTATAGTTGGCAACTAATCGATTGGTAAAATACTTACCAACTCGGAACACTATTGGGGGGCATTAATAAAAAATGTCGGGGAGGCAATTTTACTATAAGATCTATCCTTACCTTAACTCTACACCAACCCTTACCCTAACTTTAACTAAAAAATCAAAACATATGACCGCACATGGCTTTAAACATCCTCCCAAAATGGATGCACTAACGACTCTTAGAACGGAAATTAATCGTCTTGGTTTCACTCCAAATGAACTAGACAGTTTGCGCAAATTCTTCACTGAAAATGTCGAAAAAATAACTGTTGTCGTGTCTTTTCTTCCTGACTACACGACAGATGATGAGAAACGGGGTTACTTGAAGTCCTTAATATCCACGCCTGGTATGTTACATTCTCGTCCACACTGTGTCATATTCACCAATAATACCGAATACTTACTTAATGTACTTCTCTTTCCTGCTTCTTATCGTCAAACCCGCCCAAAAAACACATTCGCGTTATCGTAGAGCAACCCGTTGTCAGTAAGTGGGTCGTAATAATTTGGTCAATGCGAGTGAACGCGTCTTGGCTTAACTCTTTTTTATTCTTCTGATAGCCACTCTCCAATCTACTTCCGTGGAGAATCTCACATATGGCTTTGGACAAATGGTATGTATATTATTGTATTGTGATTTCGAAACGTATATTCATAGGAATCGGTCTAGAATGTGTCAGGTGGACCTGTCGGTGTGAATACATCAACACTTTCAGAAATAGTGCAAGTTGTAAAAGAAAACTCAGCAATTATGAAAGACAACTCGGAAATTATGAAAAGAAGTTTGGGTGTACTGATTCAAATTGAAAAACGCGAAAATCGCGAACCTAAGTTTCCAAGTAAGGCTGTCGAGATGCAAAGCCCCCAACCCCCATCTTCTATCACTAATCCTATATTCTGCACACTCTAGGCTCCGTAACGCGCGCTAAAGTTTACAGGAGCATTGTTTTTGAACAGGTTCAATATAATTACTTCCTTGCTGAGACTAATTCCCACCTTGGAGACCTTCCCAATTCCGTATCTACATATATACAAAACAACCCAATGACTCAAATAATGACAGAGAAACAAGTTCAAAATTGGTTCAAGAATGTGATGACTCGCTTGAGCTCAAATTGGAATAATAACATGGTTTTTAGGGAAACAAATGATACGCCATATCTCGATGGATACAAGCCAGATATCAGTATTTTTAATATTGATGACATACCAAATGATGCTTTCAATACCATAGTTGTCCAAACGATCCTGGAGTTGAAGAAGCACAAGAGAACTATTGGCTTTTCCGACGAAGAAAAAGGGCAATTGGTGGACTATCTTCATATTCTTATTGAACAACAACCATTACGCAGATTCTTCGCAATATTTTTATCAGATGGGACGTACTTATATGTTATAGCCTTTGATAGGAACACTAGTCAGTATCAGGAATATCAGACTGATTTCATAACAGGATTACGTCTTTTTCATGCATTGATTTATCGAAATTCAGGCTATGTAAAAATATGTGGGCCTACAAGCATTGACCTTGTTATTCCAGTCACTTCAAGTCGCACAAGAACTATTAAAATACGTCTGGAGAGGTTTCTAGGCGAGGGTTCATCTTCAAAAGTATATAAGATCAATTGGAATGGTAGTCCAACTGCTATAAAAATATCTTCTGATGTTAATAATTTGAAGCATGAAGCACAAATGTTGAGAGGATTGAAAAATCGTAATTTTACAAATGTTCCAGTACTTATTGCAAATGATGATAATCACCTGGTTATTCGGCCAGTTTGCAAACAATTCAGAAATGATTTTATTAATAATTTTAAGGCTCAAAATTGTAAAGAGCTTCTAAACCTTTTGAAGCGTATTCATTCATATGGTCTTTATCACCAAGATGTTCGTCCTTCAAACATCATGCTAGATACTGAAAGTAATTCACTTGTACTTGTTGATTGGGGGTCGGCGGTCCATAATCCTGATAACATGGTAGTGCCTTACAAAGGAACCACAACATATGCTTCACCTTCTATCTTAGATAATGATATGGGAAATTATGTTCCAAAACCGGCGGATGATTTACATTCTTTTGTGTTCACAATGTATGTTTTGCGAAATCCACAGAAGAAGCCCGATCTAGCATTATCAAGTACAAAGAATATCAAAGATTACTGGCATAGTGAACTAAATGATCGTGCACTATGGAAAGAGATGTTAAGTGCAATAAATAACAATCAGATTACTATATTAGAAAAAATATGTGACGTTTTTGAAATTTAATTTGCAGTAAAGGTTTTTTTTTGCAATATACATTTCTTTTGCATGTTATTATTTTTTCTGAACTTGCTGTGCAGTTCCTTGTTACCATTAGAAAATGTGTTTTTAAAAACAAATCATATAGTATTAGCTTGTAACTGGTATAATAAAGCTTTTGAGTACGCGATTTAAATGGGAAAGCAATTTAGTTATGGCGAAAAAACTTATCGTCTTAAATGTTGGAAGGCCTATACTAGAATCCCAATAGTAACCGTAAGAGCATAGATTAATAAAGTTAACTCAATAGTCTCCACTTATCGCAAGTTACAATGTAAAAAATCGTATAAAAATAAAATTTGGTGAGGGGCAACCCTCCTTCTTTATTTAATATTTTTTTTGCTGGAACGACAATATACAAATAAAAAAATACATTTATTTTTTGTTTAACCATTTTTGGAGATTATTATAATCTAACAATGGACCATTTGTTTTCAAAGTTACGGTATCAGTTGTCCTTGTTCCATCATTTCGTATTTCTTCATGCTTTCCTAATGTTAATGAAATAAAAAACTTAATTCTGAAAAATATCGCTTTAGTAAAGTTGGTAAAACTAAAAGATAAAAAGTTTTCTTACTAGTTATAATAGTTCCCGTAGGCTTTGGTTTAGATGGCGTTGGGTTATTAGTGGTGGAGTGGTAGTATTATTAGTCGTGGTGATGGTATCGTTAGTCTTAGGGGTGGTGGTGGTGTCATTTTTCGTTCCTAAATACAGAAAAAAAGTTATAGTAAGAAAAAATTTTTCATAGTCACGGTTAAATATAAAATAGCACATTACTTTAAAATAAATTATGGTCAGGTAAAAAAAAGATTATATACGAGCAAAAAATATTATTATACCCACCTACAAGAAACAAAAAACCGCTTATTTTTATACCATCCATTCGCTAGATCTAGAGAACCTGCCAGAAGAAAAATCACAAGCTTAGTAATTACGTTACCCTAACACAATACCATACCACACTTAACAAAGCAACTCCGCT